GTGAGCTGGCACATCTGAAAACGGGATTGATCATAACAAAGTCTTCTCTCTGACCCTCTCGAAGGTTGCTTTCGAACGAAAATTTCTAAGCACCTAGAAGCCAGGCCCTATCATCTCCATCCTCATGCTCCACGAAAAGAGGCCATTTCACCTTTTTTTCTACTTCGAATTCTCTTCAAAAGCAATGGAATCCTACTGACCTTATATCTAGATCCGCTAGTATGATGTTTAGACTAATCACGGTGTATAGACGGGTCCAGCTGTTCGCCTAGTAGTCAGTACGCTGACCCGCTATAAGATTCACAAATCCATGAGAGCTAGGGGTGCCCGTGTAATCTCAATATAGGTCTACTGCTGAAGCGCTTACCAGATCTTGTTTTGATGGAATTCGTTTCACTGTAAACAACCTCACTTTCAATGCATCTTCCCTGGTCACCGTTTCATCACATCCACCACAACGAGTAATCCACTTGCTTGAGCGTTTAGGAGTTAACTATAAATTGCCGCTAATAATGCCCAGTAAATCCCAAAAGTCGAAATCGAATAGTAAAAGTCTTGTGTGTTTCACTTACAGCAGCACTATCCATCATGACCGCTCACTGACAGAAACCGAGTAAAAACTAGCCCATCATGTTTGCATTCAATCAATATCTGTTTATCCAAAAATCAGATTATTTCATTCTCACGATCTTGAAGGAATCCATTTTGGTTTCACCTGATAGCATAAACAATCAACAAGTAACGAGGGAGGGTTACATATTCGGACTGCCTCTGCTTATTTGTACTGCTAATGGAGCGCAGCCAACTCTTTCTCTACCTCCACCCACTCTAAGACAACAATGTCCTTTACCAAACCATTTATGAGGCCGATTCGGCGTGGCAAGAAATCCATAGAGGTTATATCATCATTCTAAGCAGCAACTACTGCACCTGTTGGTACACTTTAGCGAAACTAACATTTTCAATGTAATAAATAAAATTGACCTGACTTCATTTTAACATAGCGGATAGCTAGTTCTACTCATCGTGGGTTTATCGGACGATTTCAATGGCTGTTCTAAGCCGACGGTATTTCTGTCAAAAATTCGAAAGTTCTATGACTTAGCTCAACCGAGGTTGTATATGTTTCCGAGCGGATCTACACTCGGGTACTTATTTCACGGGAACAAAGACCTACGTGTTTACTGGGTAGTGACACACAGTTTGGAAGCAGCCAATGTGCGATTCTCATCGAATCGAAACCTGAGAGCACTTTTATCATCGTTCCCTAAAAACATATTCGAACGTTGCCTCAATAACGATAGTGAACAGAGTAAACAACTACAAAAAACCTTAATAACAACAGTCATTAAAATAAGTGTTGGTCGAAGATGAATTGGGTAATGGTAAGGCAATTCTGTGGAGACGCTCACATAAAATAAACAATAACAAAGGTATCGCAAAATTACAACCATAAACAACAGTAGCATAAAATAGACTAAAAAGCTCGAGATTGCATGTCCTAGATGAATGCGGAGCTTTGTGCATAGAAATTGCAACCAGCTACCTGGGTCTTATTCAATAAGGTAAGTGGACCTGGGGACTTAGGGAGGGAAGAAGTCATATAAAGATATCCACGGTTGGACTTATCCTTCACTTCTGTGAAAATTTTGTCAGGAATGGAAAATCCAAAGCTCTCCCTCTTTCATTCTTACCTTCTTTGGCTTCGAACTTCTCCCCAGCATCATGCACTGAATATCCCCCTATGTAATTCCCTTGCCGCAAGAAAGTGCCCTCTTAAGCTTGCTCCGTAACTACTCCCGATACTTATTAAAAAATTCGGCAAAAGAGTAAGAGCAAACTCTTAGTACATTTGCAAAAAAATGAATAGAAATTAAAACATTACAATTATTAGAAACAGTAAGGTAGAAAGTGAATCTAGATTGTTGAGGTAGAACTATAACTGACAACCGACTTTCTAAACTTCGAAGAACTTAACGAGGATGCATGATTCCTCTACCGCCATCTACTTTCAACAACTGGCCAGTAGTGAATGAACTTTTGTTGGAAGCGAGGAATAACACTGCCTCAGCTACTTCGGACGGCTCACCTACACGTCCAAGAGCATGAGTAGCTCTACTTCTTTCGAGAAACTGAAAGGACTTCCTAAACTTCTTCAAACTAGCCAAATACAAGTGAGAAAGAAAAAAATAAACATAAAAACACTACCCCTTCATAAGCACTATCATCCATGCCCGACCGCTTGTGCACTTCAGTGACGATAACACCGGGACTTAAAAAGCAGTAATTAGAGATGATTTCTAGGCAGAGGATCAAATTCAAAATAAAAACACCAGTACAGTAAAACGGTTCAACTCAACCAAAAGGCACTAACTCCTGGTAATCACTGCTTTATTTTTGCATAAAATGATCCCCCAAATGCAACATTGGAGTGAATTATGTAACCTCGACTTTGATAAGCTTCGCAATACCCGCACTATTTCAACTAAGGATGAAAATTTCAAATGAGCTCACTTGACTGCATTGACACGCACTCCGTGGGGCGCCATCTCAAGAGCAAGGCACTTTGTGAATTGATCAATAGCTGCTTTGGACATGCAGTAATAAGCGACTCCAGGGAACTGAAAATCATACCTCTCAATGCACTGTGTCCTGATAAATGTTATCGTAACACGTTGTTAAATAGAGCGTCTCTAGTAATGAGTCATGGAAGCTCTCAAATATCTCAAAACACCTATCGAGGCGTTTTATCGAAATAGATTTGAACTCTACTCGACTGGCTTAAATGGCGTGGTTGTGACTTGATGTCTCTCGATTAATTAGATCCAAATCTATTCATGCAAGTGCGATATTGCAATCTGCAACCCTTTTCACCGTCGTATACACCAACTCGCCAACAGTGCACTTTTAATTTATGCGTCTACTTCCTTTTGAACAAGTGTAAATTGCTAGGATAATATGAAAAGGGGGGAGGGACGAAGAATGCACTACGATCACCTCAACGATTCGAAAACTCTGACAATGAGATGGGCCACAAGTTGAAATAAAAGTCCTCACATTTCTTACATTTCAAAAGTAAAAAATCTTTTCGGGAAGCACTTAAGGAAATGCTAAACTTGCAGTGCTATCGAAGAACAGATCCTGAAACAACATTGAAGAAGAGTTCTGAAGAGAAAAAATGACTCACCGGACATGGACCTGCAATGCTTGAAACATTCACAATAGTTCCCTTCGTTTTGATTATGTACGGAAGAGCCATACGAGTTAACATGACCACGCTAAACAGACACTGTTTCCAACGCTTTTCGAAGGCTTACTGCAACTCTTATTATGAAGCTTACAGAGTCGATTTCAAAGGTTTAACGATGAAAGAGCAGTTTCACTTTCTTCCCTTTTTGAAAAAAAAATGTAAAACAAACTTCAGTTTACCTCCTCACGTTCACTTCCATTTGACGATCATATACATCTACACCAGTATCTATGATGTTTCCAGATGTTANGTCCCCCAAATGCAACATTGGAGTAAATTATGTAACCTCGACTTTGATAAGCTTCGGAATACCCACACTATTTCAACTAAGCATGAGAATTTCAAATGAGCTCACTTGACTGCATTGACACGCAC